GTGTCCCTCATCACCTTCACCACGCAGTCATTTCCTACAGGAACCTCTGTCATCCCAATTGTTGGAGTTGGTTTCCGGCAGTCCGCACTGTTTGGGTTACTAAAGAATTCACTGACCTTAAAATGAACTAAAATATTCTGGTATTTCAAAGAGTTAAAGTTTTAAGTCTAAAAAAATTAAGTCTTTTACAGAACATCTGTATGTACAGAGAAGCTTCTATACAAATGAAAAACTATCTACTACCCATGCTTCATGTGTCATTAGGATTTCCAGCAGAGATGGCCCAAATCCTAACATTGCAGCTGGCTTAGGTGATGCTGTGACGGCAGTCTAAACGTTGCAGTCTCTAAAGTCCAGGTTAAAATGAACTTCATAATCTCAATCTCTTATTCCAGCTGGCTGGATGACCTTGGGCAAGTTACTCATTCTCTCAGTTGTTACATAATAGGGTTGTTTCCAGGGTGAAGTTAACAGCTACAAAGCACTGGGGTCCCTGGCACATTTCCTAATAGAATGGGCACTGAATAAACCAACACTAAATTCAACTCAGTTTTAAAATGTCACGCTGAGAATTTGGAATCTCAGTGAACCGTCTATGTGATTTCTTGTAGGAAATGAGAACTTTTCACCTAATATCAGAGGTGTTAAGAATGATGTCAGGTCAGCCACTGTCGGTTTTACAGCACATCACTAGTGGCTCTTTCGCCAGTCAGAAAAGAAAAACCCTCGAGCTTTCCTACCAACGTCCTTCACTAAAAAGTCCAATCAATTAATTTAAAAAGAAAGATGTGAGGCCTTCCTGGTGACACAACAGGTTAAAGCACAGCACTATGAGGCTGTCTGCAAACAATGCTGCATGAGTTCGATCCCCCGCCAGGGAAGTGACCCACAAGGCGCACCGGCGCACCAAATCTCTCCTGCCCGCTGCTCCCCTGTTTATCTGCCTGTTCTGCTCCCCACTGTGTCTCTGGTGCATCCTCTCTCTTTTCCACCTCTGGCCGGCGCCCTAGCTCTTGTATGCATAACTAAATCTTTAAAAAAAAAAAAAAAAAAGAAAAAGATCTGTGTTTAATAACAAAAAAGTAAAGATGTGCGCTTATATCACAAACAGTATTTTATCTAAACCATTTTTTTTTACCTGTAGTAATTGCTGATACCCAATAGTGACATTCTGGAATTCAGAAAATTTTAGTTTTGTCCAGTTATTTAAGAGTCAAGCACTAGCATACAACCAACAAGTTACCACGTGGGTAACACTTAAGAGTTTATACCTGCACTGAACGTTGCACGTAGGGTCGCCTAAGGTCGTGATTTCTCCACAAAAAACCTCTGCATTTCCAACCATTTCCTTTAAAAGCATTCTGTTAGGGGACCTCACACAGAAGAATGAGTCCTTCGCCCTCCAGGTAAAGAATTCTGGGAAACAACGCTAGGTGCACTCAAGGCTCAGCAAGAGTGCCAAAGCCGGAACTAAGCGTGGCTTCTCCAAAGGAGCCGCAGGCCCGAGCCACGTCAGAGGTTATTGACGCCGGGCATGCGCAGACGGGCGACGCCAATGCGCATGCGGGTTGTGGGCTTTCGCCCTCCAGGAAATTGTGCGACAGGCAATAGACTAAATCGAGTGCTCTTTGTCATGGCGCCTCACCGTAACGATTTGGACAGGGTTCGCCCACCCACCATTCCCTCCACCAGTTCAAACAGGACTTCGGGCCGTTTATCCTGCCGGCTGGCACTGTCTCTTACGTGAGGCTATCGCAGTCCTCCCATTTTAGTTTGCCCGCTTGGCAGCCCATTTCTTGAAAGCTCCCCACCAGCTCAGTTCAAAAGCTGCACGCATTCAATATACATTAACAATGAGTGTGTGTGTGGTAACTATAGGTTTTGAGACACTTCACCTTTCATTTCTTGCTCTTACTGTCTCAAGTGGGAGGCACAATTTAACAAGGAAGCAGCTGCGAGAACAATGAACAATCTGAAGTCAAGTGGCTTACAGTTGGGTGGATACATATACTGTCTAAAAATTATATTAAGAAATAAAGCTTCAGATATGACAGATGTAAGGCAGTTGCAATGGAAAATTGAAAACGCTAACCTTACAATGAAAAACGCCACATTATTAATACCATGTAGTACAGGACATGTATTTTTCCTTGCCCACCCCATGTTTCTGGAAATAAACAGTGGTTAATTAGAATGTAAAATACAGGCTTATTTTCTTTTGATGGCATCCTGCTTACTTCTACTTTTCTTTATGTAAACGTCATTGCAAATTTAAAAACAATCTTAACTTTTTACTGCTATGTATGTAACACATTACCACACTCTCAGCAGTTTAAAATAACAGAAATTCAGGACCCAAGCATGGCATGGACGCTCTCTTTAGAGCTTCACAAGTTGGAAATGAAGGCGCCAGCCAGGATGCACAATCTTACCTGAGGATCCTGAGAGAGGCTCTGCTTCCACGGCTCATTCGGTTTTCGCTAAGCCAGGTCCTTGCGACTTACTGCTCAGACCAGGTCTCTGAGCAGAGCCTCAAACTCCTTCCATCTTCAGTCAGTAACGGACTCCTGCACACACGCTTAACTACTTCCACCAAAAGCCCCACCTTTTTAAAGGGTCTGCTGATCCCGTGAGGCCCATACAAGCAATCGCCCAATCTTCACAGCTGTACTGTGTCTGCCCAAATGGGAGGAGGTGCGTGAACTCGAGGGCGTGGAAACCTTGGGGCCACTTAAATTCTGTTTTCTCCAGCAAGCAAATTAGGACTATAATCTCTTCAACAAAAATTCATAGGTTATTTTACTTAACCACCACTTTGCATTTTCATCTTCTATAAAAATAAACTTTCTGAATAAAATAGTCTGCTATTCAGCTGGAAAGAATGAAACATGGAAATAATTTGAAAAACTAATTACAATTATATGGAGAATTCATTTTAAGCACACTCAGTAACTGATCGGTCTATGATCGCTTGTGATTTTTAATCAAGTGACAATAATGCTTCATTAAGGAAGCATTCGTGATGTAGGAATATTGCTTTGTTGATATTTCACAGTGGAAATAATAATTTCCATATTATCAGTCATTGCCCCGAATTAGTTAGCAAATGTACTTTTAAGAAAACCATTTGGAAGGAATCAAGAATAAACTGAAGACTGGCACAAGGAAAGTTCCAACAGTAGGGATATGCCAGCAGCTTTAACACAAACAATGTACCGTTTCATAGATTGTAAAGTGTTTTCCTTTTGTTATCAATAACGTAAGGACACCAGAATGTGTTAAGTGACCTGATTCTCATGCTGCTATGCCATTAACCAACAGTGCAACTTTACAAAGCCATTTATCTCTTCTTTGTAAAATAAAAGCATCTTAGAATTTCAGATGGAAAATGGGCCTTCCAGATCATGATTTTTAAAGTTCCACCCAGCTCTATTTACCCAAATACCCACTAATAAAAAGGGAAAATAATCCACCTAATGAGAGAAATGTGGTCTCATAGATTAAATATTTGTGTCCCTGACTGAACTAAATTGTCACTTTAATTACTTTTAATTTTAGATTAAATTTCTGCAAATGTTTTAGCATTTCATAAACGAAGCCTCTGATTCTCTCCTACTTCCCTTGCAATTCAACACATAGCTTTTGGCTATGTCCCCAAGTGCTTTGTTTAACACCAGTGAAAATAATTGTTACCTTACAAAATTATAGACACTTCCAGTTTTAAATTCAATTCATTTTCCTATAAGGCCTTGTTACCTTGCTTGGCAGGATCTACAAAAAAGGGAGAAGGCAGGATCACAACTATATTACCCTGTATGGACAGTCCTGAATCTTTGATTCAATTTACTGAAAGCTTGTAGTATATCTGATTTTGTACCAGATCATTAGCTGTCTAGGAGGTGTCTTTTTATCACCGAACAAAACATGGTTTTCAGAATTTGAGCACATCCTCAAAATGTTTCCATAAAATACAGAATGTGCAGAGGCCCCACATTTAAGGAACTTGCACTGTAATTGGAGAGAGGGAAATCTGACAAATGACACAGTGAAATATTGAGTCTCATGGTACAGGTCTGTCATAGAGAATGGTCTCCCATTCATGTCTTACACTGGGAAACTGTGAATATGCTGGCACAGACAGGGAATCTAGGTTGTTGATTACTCGATCTTAAAACAGGGAGACTAGCTGGGCTCATCCAGTGTACCATGTGAGGCAGAGAATTGAGTCAGAGAGTTACCACATGAGAAGACTGGATATTTTTGTTGGCCTAGATCTATTTTAAAATTTTAACCTACAGAACTGTAAGATAATTTGTATTGTTTTCAATCACTAACCATTAGGTTACTGGTAACTTGTTATCCCAGTCACAGAAACCAATTCAATCACAGAATTATTTTCAGCTATGAAAAGAGTTCCCTGTGCTGGTACAGAATTGAAGGGCCTGGGTGCAGCACAGGTGATAAGAGTTCAATTCTTGCTCCTCAAAGTGTCTTTTTCTTTTTTTTTTTCCTGAGAAAGCAAAATGTCAGCCACACATCCCCCACCCCACTACTGAACCGAAGTCATTTTAACAAGGGGATTGACATTTATACGGATGTGCAGAGAGTAATAGCTAAAACCGATTAACAACTGTTTTTAAATACTGGAGAAATCTTTCTTCTTTGGACACGTATTTCCTGGGAAAACAATACTGAAATGCAACCACAAAGACTATGGTCAGTTTGTGCTTAGTGCAACTGCTTTCAAACAATGAAAAAGGCCTTTCAACAAAATCCCTTTGCACCCACTTATGAAGATCTTCTTTCTTTGAAAATTCCCATGAGCTGAAAAGTTGTCAGTATCAAAATGTTATACCTTTAAATAAATACTAAAATCTCTTGGCAATTACTCAGAGTCATGTTGTGGGGACTGGAGAGGAAGGAGAAAAAAGAATTTCATTCACGTAATACATTTTTATTACTTTTAATATAAAAGACAGCAACATTTTATATTTCACGTATTAAAAATGTTTTAAAATCATCTAATAAGTAATGAAAATAAATTTATTGAAGAATAGCAATGACTACAAAATTAATATTCCAAATCATTTACTGATGCCCTTTTGCATTAAGAATAAGTAGAGGGAAGATGGAGAAAGTACCACAGGTGGACATTTGAAAACGACATTTTATCCAGCCTTTATCTTTTTTGCGAAAATTTAATTCCAGATGATGTTAAGATATTCAGTTGAAGGCATACTTTCAAGATTTTAAGACAGCAGCCTCCACTGATTATATGGCATTGCAAATCATCCCACCTGTTTACAAATTAAGTTAAGCAATGACTCAAGGAGTCTCTAGGTAAAAGATTCCACTAAAAGAGAGACTGTTCACAGATAATTAGTAATGATGACTAGAATAAGAATATTAGCATAATCAAAAAAAGATGTACGATTATTCAACTTAATTTTCTCCGGTTATATCAATGCAATTCACTCAATCAAGTAAATTGATTGCATGTTTAAGGAAGGGGGTAACAAGCCAGAATCTTATTTCAAATTCCCACAGAAGAATCCTATTTCAAACAACCTGTAAAGGGAAAGCATTGAATCTACATTAACATTGTAACATACATTGTACAATAATACAAAAGTCAAACCATTATATTATGGGTACATTTTTTTTCTTTAAAGTGCACAGCACAATTTCAGAACACTTCACAAGAGTGTGCACTTAGAAAGTTATGGTCAGTAAATACATAGAGACAAAACAGGCACCTCCATTGTAATTATTTTTAATAATTAAAAGCACATTAACAAAAAAAGGTTAAGCAGCACCTGAAGCCTTTGATGTTTCTAACTGTTATGTTTCACTAGGAGGCGCAAAAAAGGAGCCAATTTTTAACTTAACTTTTTAATTCTAGTTGAGACAGGAGCTTGTCTGAGCTGACAGTTCTGCTGCTTGATGGTGACAGCATACCAGTCCTTCAGATCTCCTATACTTTGGAAAGCAGACCCGACTCTGGAGCACTCGCCTTAATTAGATTCTGAATTTCCTTGAATTTTGGATGGTCTTTATCAGCCACCAGCTGTAGAAGAACTGCCTCACTCGTAGTCACTATGATCCCAGTTCGAGCAAGACGCTTTTAAAAAAAGGAGACAAAGACAAATAAGGAACTAAGCGCAAGAATGGACACTAATTTTAAAACAGCAAAAGTATGTGCTGGAACACACATTTCTCTCAGAACCAAGGTTCTCAGTCACACTGTTCAATTCAGTGATGGAAAAAGATTTCAAACTAGTCACACCACCATCCCATTACAACTTCTTGATATCAACAACATGGACTAGAAACAATTACAGGTAGTCAATATTGTAACTTGTACATGATGGGGGCTGGAGGGCAATTGGAGATAACGCTACAAAACATGGAAGACAGGAGAGAAAGCAAACGCATCGCTACGTCCTCATCAGCGAGCACTTGCACACTTCTGACAGCTGCTGCTTCCTAAACCCTCCCTGCAGACTCACACTTCGTCTTCCATCATTCACTAATGAAGAGCCTTTGATCAAGTATTAAATTCTTTATTTCTACTTTTATTATTGAAATTTTACAAAAGGAAACTCCATCCGTATTTCTCCCTACATCACTTAACTGAGCTCATGTAAGAAGTCACAAGGCCCTCCCTGATGGCGCAATAGGGTAGGAAGCAGCACTGCAAGTGGACTGCAGCTGCTTCAGTGCGAGTTCGATCCCTGCCCTGGAGGAGATCCACATGGTGTGGCAGACCTCTCCTGACCTGCCCGCTGCTCCCCTCATCAGTGTACTTCAGTCCATCTGCCTGTTCTGCTCCCCACTCTGTCTCTGGTGAATCCTCTCACCACCCCTGCATCTCTGGCTTGTACCCCAGTTCCGTATGCATAAAATAAAAAGTCACGAGGTGTATGGATTAACAATGGTTGGCATTTAGTAGTTAATTAAGAAAAACATTGGGGGTGGAGAGGATTGACTTCTAAAGCTTCACTTGTGCCATGAGTATAAATGCAGCTATTCAGAATATTCTATGCATCACTGATTTATTATACAATTGTCTATAACCAGTATTGTAATTACAGTGAAATTACTGCAGGAATTAGAATGAGGATTCTAAATATTTTTTTTTTCTTTCTTATAGTCTCCAAACATTTAGCATATAGCATGTGAGCCCTTCAAAAATAAAAGCCCCAGTCTGGAAAACACTGATGGTGGGAGGAAAGAAGTTCACTTTAAGATTAGGAAGGTGCCCCTGGATGATAATGGCCATCACACACTTCACAGAATAAATACGAAAGTTCCATGGACAGGTGAAGGGGTGCCCTTGCCAAACTGCTCAGAGGAATCATAATAACCGCAGACAGAAATAGCAAAAAAAAAAAAAAAAAAAAGGAAGGAGAAGGCAAGAGGGCAAAGAAAGGAAAGTGGAGGATGAGAAAGAAAAGGGAAAGGGGAGAAGGGATCCCTCTGAAAAGGTCAACCTTCACTCCAGGAAACCCGCACTGTAAGAACAGGAAGGTGAGGTTCTTAGATGTAATTTCTAAGCAAGTCACAGGATAACAACACCAGATCAGTCTCTTGTCACAAAGAAACATTTAAGCAGTCAGAACATCCACTGGAGATGGCTACATTCTAGTTTATTTGGCACTTACTTTACAATTATTAGTTGGAAGAAATAATGTCTGACAAATAGTAAGTGCTCAAAAATACTTGTTAAATAAAAAAACACTATAGGTCCTGGCATAGTAGTTTTGATTAACTATAATGATTAACTATAAATCTTCTAGTATAATGATGTTAACAGGCAAATGGACAAATTCAGGAATTAAGTTGAGCTATGTCCTAAAGAAACAGAGATGATGAAGAGTTGATTACTATTTAACTTTCACAGTCACAGAATAAAAACCTTAACAGTTTCTCCAATGGAACAAACAAAATCATCTTCCTATCACATAAAGACTAAGGAAAAACCTAAGACAGGTTTTCCCCATGACCACCTGACCTGATTTCATTTTTTCTCTTTTAAATTCAGCACTAACCCAAGGCAATATTAGCTGGTCTAGGTTCATCCAAATCCAACCTCCACCACATTCTTTTCTTGCCTCCTCCAAACTTCTCAAGAGTAGTCCCTTCTGGGTCTCAGAGGTTATCTGCTTATATATAATTACTGTGATGAAGACAATGATAAAAAAATAAAATCACAGCAGGAACTAACTTTGAGTCTAGTTGATACTAAGTGTATCAACTTAATCCTCACAAAAAGCTTTCCATGTAGTCACTATTATTATTTCCATTTTCACCAAGCTGAAATTTAAAGCATAGATACTGATAGTCTGTTCAACACAAATTTATAAAATGTTAGAAATTGTGCTCACACCCACCCATATCTCACACATACATACACCATTATTTGGACTCATCCCTGAGATCCCACGCTACCTCTCAAAGAATGAGATTCAGACTATAAATAATCTGAGTCTCATGTGAAATGAGTCCCCGAGAATACTGAATTTTCCAACTCTCCTAAGATGATACAATTGCCAATAATCAAAACTGCCTGACATAAAGGCCCTAATAAAGACATATCTAAATACATATAATAAATGTAGATCATGTGTGCTAGCCTTTTCCTTATAAGCAAGGACTTTATTTTCTCTATGGTTTTAGCTTTTTACTTCTTTGGAAGCACTTCAAATTCTGTACCTCAGTATTATAAAGCAATACTATTATCATAAAGGTTATCCACAGATGGAAAGGGCTGCTTGCCAAAATGGTGAAGATCCAGTAATGAGGTTGTTTAAATTTAGGTCACTAAGGAAATCTGAAAAGTGGAAGTTGCTTAACTTTCAATTAAAATGGATTGAAGAACCAAATTATGAAGACCAGATGAAGACCAAATGAAGACCAGAGAACCAAATTATCCAAATGGATTTAAAAATAGTTGAGCAAAATAAAGGAAAGTATTTTCCAAAAGTCATCCCAAAATATGTCTGACTGCTTGAAGAATAGAGAAGGGCAGGTCAACCACTTCAATTGCCTTCAACTGCTAGCCACCCACGTCTGTGTCAGCTCGTCCCACTGGCTTGACAACTTTCTTCCTTTGACTAGATGTGACTCTTCTCACTGGCCTGCCCTACCACTCTCAGGAACACTTTGGACTAAAGGGAAATGATGTAGAAATCCTATAGTGAAGTGGTTCATAGTCCAGGTTGTCCGTGGGACATTGGATGATCTCCAAAAAAATTTCCATACATTCCATACTCAATAAAAATAAATCATTGGGCCCTCCCCTATGGCACAATGGGTTAAAACACTGCACTGCACTATGAAGCTAACCGTAACCACAGCAGCATGGGCGTTCGATCCCAGGCCAAGGAAGTGACCCACATGGTATGGCAGACTTCTCCTATCTCACCCACTGTTCCCCTCAGCAATGTACTTCATCAATTCTGCTCCCCAATCTGTCTCTGGTGAATACTCTCACCGCTCCTACACCTCTGACCTGTACCCCAGTTCTGTATGCATAAGTAAGTAAATTTAAAAAAAAAAATTAAGTAAATCAGCTAAAGAACTCAACAACTCAGTTCACACTACTCTAAAATTATAAAATTAGAATTAAATTTAAAATGAAAAAAAAGAGAAAGGAACACAAAGAAAGAGATCAACAAGATGGGAGATAATGTTTCAAAGAAATAAGTGATAGTCTGCTGTGCAACAGTTTTGGACTAAAAGATGTTTAAGTAAGAGAGTCATTGACTCTGACTCCATTGTACATTTGACCCTCTGGTGCAGAGAGGCATGTGATATTGTTTGTGAGCAGTGCCATACTTCCTCTTCCCAGAAATTCAAGGAAAGCAACTCAGAAGGAGCCCAATATAAAGTTGAAACAGACTTAGGCCCATTGTGCCCACGTTTTACGCCAGATCCTAGTCAAGCCCGGTGAGCTGACTTAGATTTGCAAATGACTCAGTTTCAGATTAGGTTTTGTGGACTATCTCTTAGTTCACATGTAAAACTACAGGGAAGGAACAACAAAAAATACAAATGAACTGTTTGTGACACTACAAACTGAGATCTAGAAGACATGAGAACAAAAAGAAGACATAATAGTGAGAACTCCAAGTCCAGAGAGCACCACCCACATTGAAATTCATGAGTCTTATACTTTCAGTCCCTGCTCAAATTGAAGAGGCAAATATTTCACTGCCATTAGCTATTCAACACTCTCTAAGGTTATTTGGAAAATTCAATAAATGATTTATTTTAAAGAAGAACAATTACCTCAAGAGCAAACATCCTGTCCATCATGCTTCTGGATGAGGTGGCATCAGCAACAATATGAACCTCTATACCTCGGCCAACCAGCTCCAAGGCAGTTTGCTGAATACACACATGAGTCTGGCAGCAAAGCAAAAAGTCATATGTAATCATGCAGTAAGCTAAGAGTATTTTACAAACAGACAATAACAGGATAAAGCAGAGAGCACTGCAGGTCTAAAGAGACCTGTCCATCCTCTAGTCTTGCCTCTGACAAGGTAATCTTGAGTGTGCAACACCACCTTTGGCTTTAGTATTCTCTTTGTAAAGTCAGGAACTAGATTACATCAAAGTCCCTTAAACTAGAGACTTGCACAGAGTCCTGTGAGAATTGTTTAAAGATTTTCACCTGTGACATATGAATGACCTTCACACAGCTGACAACTACCAGTCAGCTTTGATGCCACTTGCGGTTGGGTTTATTTCTGAACTCATACAAAGTGCCTGAACACAAAGAATGACTGTGCAGTACAAAATGAGGAAGTAGTGGAAAAACTGAGTTACAAGACACCCAGCTCTAAAGGGAGGCCAAATGAACAATAACTTGTGATACAGGTAAAAATAAGTCGTGTAAATCACCAGCAGATGCATTATACAGATTCCATCTTTGTAGGTACTAACTTACCACAGTGCGTTAGCAGAAAAATAGTTAAAACATAACTGATTGTACAACCAAGAGTAGATCTCAATAAGCCCACAATGCCAATCTTATCTTCACAGGGTGTGAGCTTTAGAGAATTATCAAGTGATGCCTTAAAATTAGCACTGGAGAACTAATCAAAGATGATTCTGATCAGGCATGAGATGATAATGAGTGAGCAAAAAAAGTACAAAAGCCAGCAACAGCATCTGCTACAACATTTATACAAACAGGTTCTCTCTGTGCTCTCTATGCTGCCGTTACTGAAATCAAACCCTATCACATTAAAAACAAAACCTCACAGGTATATTGTTGTTTTGGTTTGTCTTCATAATTTCCCCCTAATTTCTAAACCTGAATTCAATAGCTGTTAAATAATTAAATAACTGTGAAATCCTAATTAAATAGGTGAAATCCTATAACAAATAAACAGAATGCCTCTGGTGAAACTGTATTCTAAATTTTTGGTTAAAAGTAAGGCTGAAGAATCAGTCAATCTAGATTCAAAGCCAGCCGTGTCTTACTGTTATGACCCAGGGTCAGTTACATAACATGTCAGAGTTTTAGTTTCTTCTTTCACAACTCAGTTTTCTACATACATATGATATTGTATCCAAACATAACAAAAAGTACTTACTTCTACTCCAAATAACACAACACTCCTAACTCCAGGGATCTCTGCTAATGCCGCCTCAACCTCTGGTAAGACCATGGAAAACTTGGTCTTTGGAAGTACCAATTTTACACCTGTTAAATCAATTTCTTGAACAGTGCTTCCAAGACCTTTAGGGTACTGTTCTGTTACAATAACTGGAATTCCTAAAATCCGGGCTCCTTGTAACTGGAAAAAAGCAACCAAACACAAAAACAATTAGCAATATACCTATATATGCTTCCATAGGAATGAGTATCATACTTCAGCAAATTGGAGAAAATAAATAATCATACCAATCTTTGTCCCACACTAATAATATCTCCAAAGTACTTGATGGCTGGTCTGAATCTTTCCTGCATGTCACAGCAAAAAAACACAGTGCTGGAAGCTGTAAGATTTCCCAGGGTAGTGAGCTAAGGAAAAGGGAGAAAGAAATGATTTAGTGCTTGTTGTACAATGGAGTCAATAAAGCAGTAAAAGGTTTTCTATTGTTTGATTCAATATCTACAACTATCATTCAAAAGTCATTTTCTGAATTCCAAGAAAAAAAATTCATCCAGACTTTCACTGAATGGTTGGTTGTTAATGGCGAAAATTAGAAATCAACCAAGGGTCAACAATATAGAAATGATTTAGCAACTTTGAACACATTCACATGACAAAATTTTTTGATACTCAATTAAAATAATATGTAATACAGGTTTTCAAAGAATTCATGCTATCTCAGGAGTAACACAATTTTGAAAGCAGAGTACACCTCAGTAGTGTTTTAGTAATGTAAAACAAATAATTAAAAGTAGAACAAGTATATAAAAATACAAGTGGTTACATAGTTATACTTTCTTACATTTCCCAGTGCTATTTAAAAGAATTCTCTGTCATTTAAAAATATGTATTGCAGTATAATCAGAAAAAATGTTCGAACACTAAAAACTTAAACTTGATTGAAGTATCACTTTAAAGTATAAAGAACAAAATCTAAAATCTATAAAAGAGACTAAGGAATAAAACGTAAATCAATTGACTGATCCACAGCAAATACAGAATTACTGCTAACATCAAGACAGAAACAGAAATATGCTATTCTCAATAACAACTTCGTAAACAAAAACATGTAATGAAATGAAGGCCTGCACATCACCACTCTTAAGTGGTCAGACAGAACCATCAGCTTTCTTAAATATATCTACAACAATCAGGAAATTTAATGAAGATAAAAACTGGGTATTTGATAGCTAAGCTTTACATTAATTGCTGTAGTGGATCTACTCTAGTATTTTGTGTCTAATACTGATGTACCCAAAAGTACCCAAAACAACATCTCTGTTATTTATAAGAATTAGTCTTTTTGGGCCCTCCAGGGTGACACGATGGGTTTAAAGCACAGCACTAGGAAGCTAGATGCAATATTTCAGCACAAGTTCGATCCCCCACCAGGGAGCTGACCCACATGGCCAACAGACCTCTCCTGACCTGCCCACTGCTCCCCTCAGCAGTGTATTTCAGAGGGTCTACCTGTTCTGCTCCAAGCTGTCTCTGGTGAAGCCTCTCACCTCCTGCACCTCTGGCCTGTACCCCAGATCTAGTACACATAAATAAACAAATCTTTAAAAAAAAATATCTTGCCCTCCCTGGTGGTGTAGCAGGTTAAAGCACAGCACTAAGAAGCTTAAGGCACTTCCGCATGAGTTCGATTCCGGCCTGCCCCGGAGGAGATCCACATGGCGGGGCAGACCTCTCCTGACCCGCCCGCTGCTCCCCTCAGCAGTGTACTTTGTCGATCTGCCTGTTCTGCTCCCCTCTCTGTCTCTGGTGAATCCTCTAATCCTCCGCATCTCTGGCCTGTACCCCCGTTCTGTATGAATAAATAAATCTTTAAAAAAAAAAAATTTGTTGGATTCTTAAATGGCTAGGTTGCTTCTCCCTGCCTTCTCGCATCATAGAAAGCTCTCTAGCATATGGGTCTAATCCTAAATGAACAGGGACCCTTATGTTTACTAGGCATCCCCATATCTTTCATCAAATGACCCTGTTTTGCTCTCACAAAAACCATGCACAATCACTACTGATAATTCATGAGGAGGCTGTGTCCCAAGTATCTGGCTTCACCACTAGACTGGACCTAGCCTCTCTATCTCAGCGCCTGTGCACTCAGGGGGCTCTTGGGAAATAATTATACAGGAATAAAGTAAACCATTACATAAAATCTTTTATCTCTAATAGCATGGCTGTTCCAGTCAGTGTGCACTTTATCTACATCCTGGTTTGAGGACACTTTAATCTCCCTCTGATACTAAATTCTCCCAACTTCACCTAACAATGTAACATCTGTAATTTTGACACTGTATATAGGACTTTCCTACTGTGTTAATAAAGTATGATTAAAATAAATACACACATATCTTAAATTATATACTCTATGTTTAGCTCTTATATTTGTAATGCAAAGTAATTTGCCTCCATATCAGTCATTTTAGAAAACAGTGAGCATCAAACTTAGGTAAATATTTAGGGTATTAGTTTTAACACCAATCAATATTTACAACTATATCTTAGGGCCCTCCCTGGTGCACAACAGGTTAAAGCACAGCAGTAGGAAGCTAGCCGCAGATTCTTCAGCATAAGTTCAATACCCAGCCAGGGAGGTGACCCACACGGCAGGGCAGACCTCTCTGATCTCGCCCGCTGCTCCCCTCAACAGTGTACTTTGTCAATCTGCCTGTTCTGCTCCCCAATCTGTCACGGGTGAATCCGCTCACCGCCCCTGCACCTCTGACCTGTACCCCAGTTCTGTATGCACAAATAAATCTTTTTTAAAAATGAAAAAAAAAAAAAAACAAAAAAACAAACCAAAAACCAACAACTGTACTTTAAATTCTTAGTATGTACTCAGTTTTGGTACAAACACTCTACATTTTCTTTTTGCAAAGTTGAACAGTGGGCTCCTAGTCATCCAGAACGTGCTTAGGCCATAGTATAAAAAGCTATTTGCCTACAACACTGGCCAATTATAATAATGTAACTCAGCCAATCCCATCATTGTACAACAGGTGGAACCAACACTCATGCAAACTAACGCCACTGGGCAGTTACTGCAGTGAGCTGTATCCCTGCACTAACATGCTTATAGTTTATACTTCCTTCCAGCTTCAGCTATCAGCTCTTATCTGAGGCTCCACTACCAACTCTACATATGCACCTAACAATTTTGGTTGTCTCAATTCTCAATTCACACCAGTTTATAAAATGCAAATAAGAAACAATTGCCAGAGGTAGGCAAGGTGGCAGAAGAAATGACAGAGAAAAAAATTTAAATACAATAAAAGCAGATCAAAAGTCAAATAGCTCTGTAGCCTAGGCCTCAATAGTGACGGAATAATAAGCCGCCTATGAATACAGTGGAACAATAACATTCTAGCATGCTCAGTAAGAGATATTAAATTATATAACATTTCAGAATAGCTACAATATAAAATGATCAAAATATTCAAAATTGGGACACTTAAAGGAATAATACCTTACCTACCCAGAAATCCTCAATATTCAAGGTTGTGTTGTTCTCCCAGGTTTCTGTTATCTGATGATTCTCAGTAACTAATTCACCTAGCTCTGGGCAGGGACAACACAGATGGATGTCACATTAGACATGATGGAAGGGGTCAGAGAATGGAGCCCTGAAACCTCATCACCCAGCAAACCCTTTCAAATATAGGAACTCATCGCCTTTAAGCCTTAAGTAAGAAAAGAAAGGTAGCACAGACATTAAGGGGATTTATGCAGAGCTGACTGGTTATAATTTAGTGAATCAGAATTGTCTAGATGTTCTCTTCTCAAGGAGTCTAACTTCCAACATCCCCTTGAATTTGGCCTGCATTTAGTAATTCACTTCCTGAGAACAGTGTGTAGAGAGGGGAGGGTAACTGCAATGGAGAAAACCTGTCTAGCACTGCCCCTGCCAGGTATGAAGATCAGGGAACCAAGGGTGTTATGTCACAGGCTGGACCCTGGAGGCGACGCAGTGTGAACAGAAGGAATGTTCATAATCCTCCTCCAAAAAATCCCACAACTCCAGTCTAAGCATGAAGAAAAATTCAGATAAATCACACCTTATCCGTACACCTCAGAACTCAAGGTCATCAAAAGCAGAGAAAGTCTAAGGGCTGTCATAACCCAGAGGAACCCAAGGAGATAAGACTAGTAAAACTAATCAGTATCCTGGGTCAGATCCTGGAACATAAAAAGGGCATTAGGGAGAAATCTAGTGAAATCCCAATAAGGCAGATAGCTCGATTAATAGTAACATAGTAATGCTGGTTCCTTAGTTATGACAAACAGCACACAGTAAAGTGTTAGCAGGAGGGGAAATTGAGTGCAGATATATAAGGACTCTCCAGATTATCTTTGAAATTCTGCCTCACTCTAGCACTAGTCCACAAAAAAAAAAAAAAATTTAGGACCCTCCCTGGTGGCACAGCAGCACAGCAGGTTAAGGCACAGCAGCACAGCAGGTTAAAGCACAGCACTAAGAAGCTAAAGCCAGTTCAGCATGAGTTCCATCCCCACCATGGAGATGGACATGGCGCAGGTCTCTCCTGACCTTCCTGCTGCTCCCCTCAGCAGTGTACTTGTCAATTTGCCTGTTCTGCTCCCTACTCTGTCTCTGGTGAATCCTCTCACTGCCCCTGCACCTCTGGTCTGTATGCATAAATAAATCTTTAAAAAACAATTTAAACACAAAGATCTCCCTCTACTAAGGAAGTCGAGGAAATGCTACTTTGTGAATAACCGTCACATACTACAAGCCAAAAGATAGGCTTTGAACAAAAATATAAATAAAGCAAAAACCTGTGTCTAAGCTACTCCACTCTTCCCAAAACATGGAATCCAACAGAATTGTTTAAATTACAAATCACCTCTAATTCTAGGCCTTCTAACTTTGACACATGCATTTCCTTTAAACCAAAAGCTTACAGATCACTAAAAATATTGTCCATAGTCAAACATTTACAGTTGCAGCTCCAAAAACTGAAAATCCTAGCAGTACCAAATTATAGATTGACCAAATAGCAGGAGTACAAGTACATCAATTGCAGATCAATGCAGCATAATCAAAAAGTGTCTCCTGTTAAGACAGCACATACCCTCCTCTACCGCCATCATTAAGCTCTGACCCTGCTTTCATAATGACCGCAGACTTGCTATGGGCCCCTCCCTGCTTGGTCCCTCTTGGGTGCATACAGGGTGTCAGCCTTGCTTCATGAATTACTATGCACCTGTTTTGTTCTCCCCAGATGAGGGTTATGTTGAATTGTGTCCCTAAAGTTCATATTGTAAGTCCTAACCCTCAGTACCTTAGAGCGGTCTTATTTGTAAATAAAGTCACTTAAAAAATTAATCAGTGAAGATGGGGTCA